CAGCGATAGTAGGACCCCCTGTTGAACGAAAATTCTGCTAGCCAATATGTGCAACAATTACAACTTTTAAATGAACCTTCCGGGAGAGAGCATTCATCTGTCATGCTTGAAACTACCATAAAAAACGCGATCTCTACGCTCACATTGCTGTTCACTTAGTAGAGTCCAACTTTTTCGCAGAGTTTAGTAGCCAGAATAATGTTCGAAAAAAGTTTCTTCGTAAATTTTGATTTATCATCTGCAGTGATGGGCATGCTTGCGAGATAAAGTATTGCAGCTCCGTGAAAAGTGGCGAAGCTCTGATGATAAGTTGATCGCTAAAACGCTAACGAAAGAAAATAGCGCAAGTGAACGCTGCTTTATGCCGCTGAAAAATATTGTAGTGGAAGTTATTGCTACAATAAATTGCGCTATATAAGGAAAAGTAGCGAGATGTCGTGCTACCGAAAAGAAAAGAAGGCCGGCTAGTGGTGGAATAGCGAATAGCGCAATTATCCACCACTGAATACCTAGGCACCAAATCAAGTCCGTCAATCATCGATCAAGCCGAAAGGCATCCATACAAACTAACATACCGATTACTTGTAAGTAGGTTTCCAAATCCGCCAGACCAATATCATTTGTTGCGATGCAGGTGTATCTGTAGAAATAACATTAATTCAGACACAAATTGTCTTCTTCTAGAATGCAATCAACGGTCGATACGGCTCACTGAGAATACAGATTAGAGCGCAACAAACCGGATTGTTGCTCACTAAAGAGAGTTCCATAAGGGATCAAACAATTCACAACATACCGCGCATCATCGCTTATAGTGGTATTGCCGATTTGTAACTGACGACCACCATTCAAGAAGACATGCCTTGAATCGGGCACGAAAGGTTGACCGTTCTTAAGCCAGGCGATCGACGGCTCTGGACTGCCCATTACAGGACAGTTGATAATTGATGTTCTACCAGCGTTCACTTGAACTTTGCGAAGGATATTTGGACCTTCGATTGTAGGTGCCTCTTCAATGAAATTAAGTCACAGACTGTATCTGGTGGACACTGCAAATTATGCAAGCGGCCAACGAAACTCGATTTATCATCGCTCG